AGGAAGACGATGACCCCACCGAGGGCGAGGGCGGTGGTTAGGGATTTCGTAGAGGTAGTACCGTAAAGGTCCGACATTTGTTTTTCTCTTTATCCTCCCCTCTCTCCCTCTGTACCAATGGGGGGTGGGCGATTTCGATTCCCAGATTTTTTTGATTTTCTTTTTGATTTTTTTTTTCTGAGTGGCAGCGAATGGGATGGTAGGCGTGTGCACGAATCGTTTGTTCGCAGTGGATGTGTGAATGTAGGGTGGACGGGGACGGCGTGCCTAGAAAGCGAAAGGAGCAAACTCGATGGATGGGAGAGGGTTTCGTCGGGTGCGTGGAGGGGAGGGGGGTTATCAATCTCGCATACTATCCGGAACCCCAAGTCGAGGACGGGGGACGTGCAGGACAAGAATTGAATCTCAAGAAGAAAGAACGGAAGGAAAAGAAAGCAAAAGGAGGACAAAGAAGGGCAAGAAAGAGATAAATAAAAGGCAGACGACAGAGGGCATAAGGGTATAATATATGGCATCATGTCATGGATGGCTTACACTACCGTACCCTACCCTTACCGCACACCCACTAACCCGGATCCCCAGGAGGCCAGTATGATAACAAGACACCCTTCCGGGCCCTCCCCCACCACCCATGGCTCACTCACCCATCCACAGAGTTGAGCTACCTCTAGGGATGAGGCATAAGGGGCTGCAATGGCCTGGTTAGAGCATATCGTACTGTACCCGCATATGGGCGCTCCAAAGCGCAGTATTGAGCATTGACATGGTACGGCAGAGCACTCACGCTGGAGCACACCCCTCCTAGCCCTTAACTTAGCCCCCGTCAACATCATCAAATCTCGCACCCCAAGCCAAGCCAAGCCAAGAGAACGGGCGCAAAAAGTATTGGTAAGCCTCCCGACCCTCACCATGACAAGTACGAGTATGCGGAATGGCAACTCGGTCCTGCCTCCGCCCTCGCCCGGCCTCAAGTTGGGGTGGTGGAGCCGGGAGTGGAAGAGGTCAGAAAAGCCAAAATGCGTGTGAGAACGGGGACGTCGGACGGAACGATGTTATGCCCGACGAATGAATATGAATCCCACTCGGGCGGATTACTCTTCGCTGTCTTGGCAATGGTTTTATTACGTAGGGCCCTGCCACAGAGCAGTTCCGTTTGCGGCTAGGCCCGGGGCTGAAAACGCTGCAACGGGAAAGCGCAGTGGAAGCGTGGTGAATGGCCTGTTCGAGTGCTGAACGGGATGCGGTCCCGTTGGAGTGTACTCGAGTACATAGTACTGCAAGAGTACTCGCACCGTACTTGCACGAGTAAGCGCGCGCGCAATTGGAAGTCAGGGGGAATGGGTACTTGTACAAGTATAGTAGATCCACGACATCGTGCGGACCTTGGTAACTGTAGGTTACGATGGGGTCATCGCCATGCCATAGCACAGGGAAGGCCCATCGGATCTGGGTTCGAGATGCGTCGCACAGTGATTTGAGGTGCCAGGGCTGGGGTTGCAGCATGTTATGGCTTCCCGAAATAGACGGGATATGATGGCTCGAAAAGTTTGGCGGGCTCGCTTGGTGCCGGTTCCAGACTCCCGCTAAGGGGGGGGGCTTGCCTCTGAGACTTGTACCAACTCTTACGGCTCGCTATTAAAAGTGCCCGCATGGACCCGATTTTACTATTACCGTATTTACTTGTATGATACCCTACGCCACTCTGCTATTTCCATTCTGTTACAGTCCACTGAACCCTCACACTACCCTACCCTACCCTACCCAACATCCAGTTTTACCCATTCCCTTGCTTCATTCATTCATTCATTCATTCATTCATTCATCCATCCATCTAGCACAATATCCAATCACCCCTCTGCGATAATTTTACATCTATCCATCCCTCGATTAAGCTCAATCACAGCGATCGACAATCCCGAAATACCCCACTCCAGGGGCCCAGTTCCCGTCCCCAACACCAACCTCACCGCCAGATCCCATTCACGAAACCTCAGTGGCATTTCCGATGAGATTGAGCCCATACCCATCCTGACGACCGAGTATTGTGCCATCGACCTTGGTGATGCTAAAATCGACACTCAGGGTCAACCGTATCAGCTCTTTCGCCGCGCTCATCAGCACGCATAATACCGGTTAACCGCCCACCACCATAAGCTGCCAAATAGGCTCATTACGGAAATGAAGGGGTAGGCAGTGTACTCGTACGAGTGCTGTGCATATCCACCCCCACACTAACCCTTACCCCCGTGTTATCACCACCCTCGCTCCGAGACAAGCGTGTCACCGCGGAGGAATAAAGTTAGGGGTCTACGGCACTGGCAGCTTCCGGGGCTCCGGAATGCTGGTGCACAACTGCTCAGCCTTACCGCGCTCCATCGCACTCCATCACGAGAGCATACATGATATATCGCCCCGCCGGCCGATAATCGCTACCACTGTCGGATGCGCGAAGCTACCCCCGCCGTGCACCCAGTCCACACTTCCCGGTCGGCCACCGGATAGCCCAGAGCACTCGCCGATGACTTTATGCGCTGTTGTCGGGCTCTGCACTTTTATTTCTCTCCAAACGTCGGAGATGCTTTCGGAGGGTGGCTCCCTCGTGCCCTCGGCACCCCACCAACTCTCAAAACAGCCAAAAGTATCCCCAGAGAATTGCGGGACCTTGTAGTGCTCTATTGCACCTCGCACCCTACCTCTAGCAAACTTTGTTGAGCCCAGGACTCCCGAATATCCCGCGTTGCACCAGGTAGAACTTCCCTCATTTATCGTCTTCAAAGTACTCCCACCGCCCGACAACATACTGGTAACTCTTCCGCTTGCAGGTGAAGCTCTAGCAGCTCGCGTTGCAACATACCTGCCGGCCCAGAGTCAGCCAGTTCCCACTGAATGGCAAGTATACTCTCTCGCGTGATATTATGATGAGCTCCTGGAAGAGCTTTCAAGAATGCCGTCCAGCATCTGTGGTAGTAGCCATCACTATACCCCTCCCCGTTACTGATCTCGACCAATTCTATACCAAAATGGCCCTGCATGTCCGTGTTTGTCGTGCAAAGCACCCCACCCGATATCCCACTTCCTATCATCCACCCGATCCGGCCATCAGCCCCCCAAATGTAGATGTGGAGATCTTTCCCCAGAGAAATTTGCTGAATCTTTTTGCCATGGAAATTAGCAGTAATGTAGTCTCCCTGACGTTCCCCCACTTCCACCAAAAGCCTAATCTACCTCTAAACTCCAGTATCTCAATGAAAACTTGAGGTGTTCCTATTTTCTCTCCATCAATGTGTACGGGTCCCGGGGAGATGCACCCGTACAATACAAATAGTATTTTGCAGGTTGATCTAAATTAACCGCTCACTAAGCCTCTATGAGCACCTAAATCATACCTATGCCCTTCAATTGTAGACATAAGAATGCCAAGAACCGACATTTTACTCCCAATTTGGAGGACCTTGGCACCTCTGGCTCCGGATACCTTACGAATTAGCGACCGGGGAATTATCCACCCTATCACCTAATGGGGCCGTGTTCCCACCAGTGTGGCTGGAAATCCATTAGGGTTGAAGTCGATCAATATTCTCTTGGGGGGAGGGAGCACCACGGCTCCAGATGTCCCTCACCATGGGGGATCTCTGACAAGGGATTGCAGGGATGTCCCACTTCCGGAGACTCGGACAAACCCAAGCCGTGACAACAAACACCAAACATTCCCATAGGTCAAACAAGAACGCACGAGCCCATCAGCGTTATACCGACAGTAGCGCTGGTCCCCTCACGGAAGCAGTGCTCGAAAAAGGGTAGAACTCGAGATCCCACTTGCTCAAACTGTCGGCCGTCTCGGCCTGTCTAGCCATGGTCCGACGTTTCCCCTGACTTCCATCTCGAGTCAATGCTCAACCCTTCAAGATTCCCTCCCGGAAATCCGAGAAAAAAACTTTTCCGAGATCATGCAACATCGGTGCCCTCGTATGAAGGTGGGGGTACCGGAAACAGTGCAAGGTAGAAAAATGCCTCTCCGGCAGCTCCCCCAGCATCAAAACTGACGACGAATGTGCTACTGCTGGTAGGAGATGTGATGCTAGGAACGGCGACGGAAAGTGAATTGGGTATGATTGTGCACAAGAGGATGTCCACCGAATGGCAGGTGAGTTGATCGGATGCTGAGACATCCTCCGCGATATTCTGCCTGCGTGAAGCGGTCACCCCCAGTTACGTTCACTTGGTAGAAAGGTCCATTAGAATTCATATACAAGTACCCGAGGCCGGTAGAACCACGTGTCGCCCAGGTCACCCCGGTTAATCATTAATTTTCCGGAGCGGCATCCTGACATCCATCCTCCATCATACCATCTCCCTCATCCAGTTTTCCCATTATCCCTAATCAGCTGCCTTGATTCGCCGTCACACATACCAACCCACATTAATGTATAATAGGAAGAAAAAGGGGGGGAAGAGGAAAAAAATTAACATTGGAAATAATTAAAGCAATCTCGTGCCTCGATCCATACAACACACACCTGCGCCAGTGCGGACGAAAAAACCCCCAATACGCTGGGTGTTACGCCCTACGTTTTCCGTACCGTATCCAGGTTGGGTCTGGGTCCACTAGATTCGTAACTATAATTTATTCGGGGGAACTGGTGGTATGGGCCTTATCATCAAATTTTAGTTACGGCGGGTGTCCGGTTGTCTGTCTCGCGGGGTCTGCTGTGGGGCACCGTGGGTTCTGTGGCCACTGCGCTGATCAAAACACTCTTGTTCATATACAGTGTATCATCCAAGTAGTGGGATATTTGAACCAATGTGAAATTTCCTGTTTACGAGTGATAAAGTGTGGTTGCACGTGCATGCACAAAATTTGGTGAGATTGAGCGCGCCAAGAATGAGGCTCCCATCTCAGGAACACGTCGACACCTTTCTTCCCCCCGAGACTGATCCTGCCCACCTTTTGCCGCGAAAGGCTCACCCGACCAGTACTCTCAACGCTTTCGACATCCATTATGGCACCTTCGATAACCTCAGAGAGGCTCAAACTTTCATACCCGCTGTACGGCGCATCCTTCATCGACGCCGACCGCCTGATTGTTGCTGGTGGCGGGGGCGAAGGGCGTAGCGGTGTTGGTAACAAAATTGTTGGCTCTCCTCTCGCTTTCGGCAAGCTGGCCTCTTGTGAGCGAAGCTAAATGGATACAGACGGTTATAGATACCTCGACAAAGCCAGGAAAATCTTTAGCAGTGGCGTCGGAAATCGGGCTCAGTAAGGATGAAGACGCTGTCATGTCGCTCTCGGCCCTCAACACCCCGTCGGGAGTCAAGGCGCTTGTTGGAATCAACTCTGCTCGAAAATCCAAGTCGAACGAGCACTTCCGGGTCTTTGATGTTCCGAAGGAAGGCGAGATCAGTCTTGCTTCCAAACACGCATTGTTCAGTCAGGTGGATGCAGAGACATATCAGCGACTGGTCCGTGTCGATGTGGAGGGAAAGATAGCGGTCATCGCGAGCGCGAGTGGGCTGGCGCCGGTTTCGGCAGCGGAGGTCGTAGTCTTAGATGTTTCCTCCTTAAATGTGAAGCGACGGATACGGCTGCCTGGGAAGGAAGAGGTTGCGGACCTGGATATATCGAGGGAAGGGAATCGAGTGGTATGCTGCTCGCCGGGGAACATCTACATCGCATCTACGGAGAAGGAGGAGCAGGGTCTGAAACCCGTCGCCCTGAAATGGGGGGGCCCAGACAGGCCGAAGGGTAGCTTCCGGTCCATTCGCTTCTCTGGCGACGGCAAGCTGGTGGCGGTTTACAATCTTTCCGGCCGCTCGGGTGCCGTCATACTGCTTGTCGACGCTTCGGGAGAAGTCATTTCAAGACGGAGCGTGCACAGCGGGGTAAAGGCGGTCACTAGCACGGACTCTTTGGCGCTCTCACCAACCAGCACACTTCTAGCCGTCGCCGGCGCAGACCAAAGCGTCCAGCTATTCCTTGTCGAAGGACTAATTAAGGCAGTCAAGACTTTCAAAAACGTACATTCCTTTCAGATAACCAAACTTGCCTTCTCACCTCTTCCATCCTCCGGCACCACTGTCAAACTAGCAACTACATCGATGGGCAACAGTGTAGTCGTATTTTACATACCGGTGTTCGAAACCGAGGGCAAATGGCAGCTCCGGCAAACCTCCATGAAGCTGACCGCCTTCCTGGTGTTGATCTCACTGGTCGGCGTAGTTGTATTCGCAGTTGCCCTCCAACTAATGTTTAATGCACGGGCAGGCTTTGGAAAGGAGCAAGGGCGCACGGAGAAGTTTGAACACCCCAGCAAGACAGGCCTAGAGGCAGCAGAAGCAGCCGACGAGTGGATGCTCGGCGAAGCGGAGGAAGTTGGCGCGGGGGTCGTGGACGGCATGCTCGGGGAAGTCCTTCTAGATGTCGTCGAGTAATCTGCTATTCGGAAGCGTAGGTGTTTGAGCAATTTGTTGGCGGGAGCGCACGTGGGTTTCTGAACGAAAATTATTTCTCTTTTTTCCCTCTTCTACGAGTATTCTCGTTTTATTTGTGGTCTCTTGTAGTCTTTCTCTTTACCTATTTGGTGATAGACGGCGGTAGGAATTTGGATGTGGAATGTTTTTAGTTGGTGACGCGCCACTCAGTTAATGATTTTTCTCGGCGCGGATATGCGGTGCCGTATTGTCCCTGCGGCGGATGCGAGATACTCGCCGCAGCAACGACAACGTGGGTTCAAGTAGGGAAGGCAATGTATGCTATAAAAAATAGCAGCTTATAATACTTCTCCTCTTGGTAGCTCGTCATGACTTTGGGTAGCATTATGGAAGGGAAGCGCGAGAACGGAACTTGACATGAGAGTAGGGCTGGGTTCGCAATGGAATTTGGTATCGTATGATACCGGGATTCTCTGCCTTTAGCTGCCATCACGGGCATCTCACAATCTTCTAGCCAAAAAAAATTAAATTCACACCCTATCCCCCGCTTTGCTCCTTAATCGACCAACCTATCATACCAGGCATAACCCCACCCCACCCCCCGGAGGACCGACGCACAAACCGTGAAAAACGAGTGAGACAAAATGACCTCTTGGAGTGAAAGTGCGATCGTGCTCTAGAACGACGCTGTATCTATACTGCACAGCGCTAGTGGTACCGGTACACGTATTATAGCTTTTTGTTCGCCTTTTACTGAACGAGTCACCCGACTGGCGCAATGGTAGCGCGTCAGACTTCTAAATTCACCGATTTGGATATGGCTATCTGAAGGCTGTGGGTTCGACCCCCACGTTGGGTTGTATTTCTCTTTTTTTATTTTTTATTTTTATATTGGTCGGCCTCTTTTTTCCTTGTTTTCTTCTCCCTTCCCTTCCCTTCCCTTCTTTTTTGGTGGGGATGTCTGTGGGTGCTGGTGTGGGGTTTGTTTGCTTCAATCCCGTACGGTTACAGTAGCGGTAACCTGTTGGACCCGGACTGATTCGGTCGGGTATATATTAGCCTAGTACGAGTATCGTCGAACTGGCATAAAACTAGCTAAATTCCCCAGGACCCTACTAAGTAAATAAAACACCACCATGGGTAGTAGATTGGGAAGTGAATCGGTAGAAAGGCACAAAAAGTTCGGAATCCGCAAATCTCAATTGAGGTCCATAATGGCGGGGAGCAAATCCAGAAGAGTATAGGAGATATTCCCGATAGCACAGTGTGCTGGGTATTTTTTTTTCTTTTCTGCTGGGTTCGGAGTTTTTGACCGGGGAACATCCAGATCTTCTTTCCTTCCTCCCTTCCCCCTTTGGATGAGGGGAGGAAACCTACTTGTGTATAATAGCGAAAGCGTTGTATTTTAGCTTCTAGTCATTACGAGGGAAAGGAAGGGTGCAGCTACACTTTGCTAGGGAGTTGACTACAACGTCCTACACTGCGAGATTCTCAATTATACGGGTTCCGGTTTTTAGGCGCTGTACTGTGCTGTATTGTGCTTGAATTATGTATGGGACACAGCGTAGTATAATGTATATATTACTCGAATATGGGACTGATATCATCCTGATCCTAACCCAGCACGGCGGAGCACAGTACGGTATAGTGCTACGAGTGGGGCCGAAGTACGAGTCGGACATCCAACTCTATTCACTAGCGTCCGGAATGAGGTGAACCGGTTTCTGCCCATCAAGTTGTCCCGTATCACGCAAGGGGAAAGGGCTTGAATGGTTGTGGGGTGATTAAGAGATAGCGTAGGGGTACGGTTATAGTTGGGTACAGTACTAGTACAGTACAGTGGGTGGAAGGAATACCGGTAGTGCTGGACTTTTGCTGTTAGAGAGAGGGAGGAAGGTACGTTATGATATGGTCAGAAACTTTGTTGTCTTGCTTGTCTCCTCGTCCCCCTCTCGAAACTGGTGGCGAAGGTAGATGTGTATATCTATTGTAAAACGGGGTCGAAAAGCCTTTCAGATCCTATTCCTCTGCAATCTCCTATGTGTGATGGCGGGGGGGGGAAGGCATTTATATCCAGGAAACCTCTCTGTAGGATGTTAGATGGATCTTCTATTGAAATCCGCGGCACTCATAAATGGTGCACCGTACGTACATACGGTACTCTTGTTACTTCCGGAATCGTCCACCGCGTCCTGCCATCCTTCCATGACCTCTGGCCTTTGTTCGTTTCCTGATTTCGCAATGGGTTCCAAGGGCAAGAAGTTCTTGCGTTGGCGATGCTGTATCGTACCTTTTCGGCTCCTGAAATTCGGCGTTTCGCCTTCCTCATTTTATCATTATTGTTACTCTTCGGTGATGGCTGGTTGCGTGTTGGCTGGCGGTCCTGCAAGAACGACGGGACTTCCTGGATGATTCTGGAAAGGACAGGAGTACGGTGGATCGCCTGGGGAGGTGTATGTGCCTCTGGAGGTTTCATCTGTCATGTCTCTTTCCCATTTTCACTGGAGTGCGGGGAGGGATAGGGACTTGCGTGGAGGATGGGAGATCTTGTGATTTCTGTTTTGTATACCGTTACCTCCTGTCTTTATTGTTAGTTTGAGGGGATGGAATAACAAGACGGAGGAGTTTCGGACCATACCTTTCTCACACGCTGCTAAAGCCTAGGGGTATCCCCCTCCCCCCGACTGCACCGCCGGGCTGTTTGTCAATCGCAACACAGATATGCACCCCTCCCCGTGCGAGACAGTTATGTGGGTTGTGTCGTGGGGGATGTAGGTTGGTGGGAGGTGTGGGAGTGGGGGAAACGGTACGGTATGAATTGTAGAAATGTGGCGTTTAGCAGCCAGTGGTGTCAAGAATGCTAGCCAAGGGTACTCGTAGGGTAGGTTCCTTTTTTTTTTTTTTTTTTTGTTTAGAGAATGGCTCTTGAGTCGTGCCCGTTTCCAAAAAAAAAGCGTTTCAACGAGTGAAGAGTGTGAGGGTTCCGTAGGATTGAGGGCATTTCAGGAATGGATAGCTATGATATCATGCCGTGGAAACTGGGATGATTGGGAACAGTGCTTGGGATGGCCCTGGATTTTCCCACTTTGGAATCGGGGGAGGAGCACCGCGAAAGGACCCTCTACCACTAGTCTACTCCAGCCCCTGGTTGGGTCAGCTAGGCAAAAAAAAAAAAAATAGATTTTTACTAGGAGGGGCACGGGGCCCTCTCGGGATCCTCATTTATTCCAGCTTTTACGGTGATGGAGGGGCAATGGTGGAGTGTAGGATATATTACGGAGTATTTGGGAAAAACGGGATGATAGGTTTCAGTGACTAAGTTCTTTCATGGCGGTTTGGAGCCCCTTTCTGACGCTAGAGGGGGGAGGGGTTAGCGGCCGAGCATGCGAGCACCCGTGCGTTATTTGGCACTGTATCATACCACCCTTTTTATATATATACAAATCCTACAACAAGTTCCTGATCAAAGATCACTGGATGGGTCGCCATGAAGCCGTGTTATCTATTTTCACATTCTGCTATATCGTACTGTTGTAACAATCTTGCAAGTAAAAGTCCGCCTGGGGGTGACATAGTGGTCAACAATGGAGATATTGTGCGGTCTACGAACAGACACGACGCCATAAAGTGTCCGATTAAGCTGAGAATAGGGGCCGCTCCAGTTGCACCGCTTCCCCCCCCGACCTGACAGTTCCCTGGCCGGAATGGCCCACTCCGTGCAGCAAGGTGTAGGTGGTATTCAACTGCGATATAGGCAGCGAACTTCGTAGGGCATTTCCCCGCGGTATTGGCGATATACCTGTCATCAGGTCCAACCGTTTGACCAGTATGTCAGTTGCATGCTGCTGTGGGTTATGGCGGGGTGTCGGTGCCGCTGGAGTCATTGGAGATGATAGACACCGGGGAGGTTCTTGTTGCCTTGAATGGAAGAACGATTGGATGTTGTGGAAGTGACAGGAGTATGGTGAATCATTTGGGAGTGCTGTATATTGCTCTAGCGATTTAGTGATGTATCGAGAGGTTTCTCTAGACACTCCTTCCCTTTGTTGTCACAGGAGTGCATGGATGATTAGGGTCATTCATGGAGGAAGAGAAATGTGTGGCGATCTGCGGAAGGATTTGATTCTGCTTCACACATACTCTGTCCCTACCGTTAGTTTAGAGAGTGAGGAAACGAACAAGGCAACAAGGTTTCTGAAGATACCTCTCTCTCACACTGCTGGAGTCCAGAGATATTTCTCCCACTATACCGCTGCGCTATCTGTTAGTCACCCCAAGGCCATTCACACCTCTCTCCGTGATAGCTCTGTCGGGGGGTATTGGGTTCTCGGGTGAGCATGATTTGATATAGTGCTAAGGGGGTCTACGTAACTGACCGGATAGTCTCGGCTTGGAACTCCACGGGCACTAGGAAGAGCCTTCGGGTTATGGAAGTTTGGTGTGCTGTTATTTCGAAATGGGGAGGGAAGAGAGTATTTACCTGACGGGAGATCATCTACTGTCCCGCGTCGGTGAAGGACTATAGGAATGAGTACCTGAGTTGCCCACAAACCTAGATGTTTAATGAATCCGTATACGCTACTCTCACCCCGCCTGGTTAATCACTGCGAGCTTTCGATGAATTCGGCAACGCTCTTGAAGGGGTACTGTTGAGTGCACTTTCTCTCAGCGTTGGAACAGAGAATGTTGCTCAACTGTGCTATATGCCCTACCCCCTGGGATCTCAGCAGGGGAACCAAGGGTCATCGGAGGTAAATCCTTATTCTTCGAAATCCTCCACATACGCCGCTCGAGTGCCGCGTAGAAAGGGTCCAAATGTTCAACTCCTGGTTTGGTGTGGGGTTTATTGCCTGGGAATCGAAATCGCTCACAACCTGGTGTTTCCCGGCAGAGTGGAACTCGTATTGAAGCCTCTAGCGGGGGTTTGTGTTTTCCGTTCAAGTTGAGTCAGGCTCTTGGAGTCATGGTAAAGGGTGGGCTCGGGGGGGGTCTTGATGGGAACCTGCTGGGTGTGCGAGTCGCGATGTCTCCCTCACGGTGTCCTGGGTTGGTGTATCTTTCGGCCGCGAGGCACAAAGTTGAGGAACGCACTTGAGGAGTTGGGCCGAGGATCGGTAAAGTGCTCCTTGCTTGTTCCGCGCGTGTACCCCCTGTGTACGAAGCCCGAGGAAGCAGAGAAGTCCGTTGATTCCTTTACTTGTGACTCTGAAATGGTCTTTCATCCTGGCCTTCTTCGTGAAAATTCTGGAGGTCTATGATGAGAGACCGGTGGGTTCGACAGTGGTTAGGGATGTTAAATGACTTCACCTGGTAGTGGGCATTAAGGGATGGCCCTCAGGTTCGGGGGGAGGTCGATAGGCTGGACTAGGGTGCTTGGACGGGCTTCTGGCTTCGTCGTTTCGTTGTCTCAGGCCAGGAGCAATGACCTCGAAAAGTTGTAGAAAGATCTCCGACGTGTAGGGAGTAGGGAGCTTAGAGCCCGGACCTTCGAATTTGGCAGCGGTGATGTTGCATTAATTGAGTGTATTTTGGTGCTGAGCTCCTGCTACCGTGGGGGCTCTTGGGATCCACCATCTCCGCCAGCCCTGTAATCTCCCGGTTCAGAGGCAAGAAGTTACTGAGAGTGAATAGCATTTTCCTAACACGGTATAAGATCAAATCACTAGAACATATTGGACTTTTTTAGCCGGTATGGCAATTCTAGCAAACCGGGATACTAGATCTATCGTGGGCTGACGGGCTAATATCTATTGGTAATCTAATAGAGGGTTTCAAGCCGTTTTTACGTTACAGGCATTGTCTTTGGCACTAGAGACAGGATACAGGGAAGGTGATGGGAACGTAGAGATTTACAAATGGATCGGGGGGGGTTCAAGGGCCGAGGAGCTCTCTGTCGTGATTTATGAAGGGTTGAAGATTGGAGGTGCTCGAGAATAACATTTCCGAGGAACAACCTCGTAGGTTTTCTTGCACTAGGGCTAGATTGGGATATCGCTATGCGGGGTGAGTTGAGACATGTGGAGAGGAAAGTTACTAGAAGAATTATACTAGTACGAGCAGCGTAGGTCAGTTATTATTATTGCAGAACACTCCCAAGCGAGCACAGTGCACACTAGAGCTCAGCAGGGTGGACTTTAGCGCGGCTTGACCACGACAACAATGGTTCATCACATAAAGTCACTCGTACTAAAACTAGTCCGATAACAGTTCAGAGGTTGAATACCGTCATCCAGCCTACCACAAGTGGGCCAAAAAGGTATCTATGCGTTGCAGCATGATACCTACAAGAGGGTTTTCACATATTTGAGGGCCCTAACTCTCTCATAGTGAGTCAAGTAGGTTACTTCTACCACTCGTACCCGGATACTTTTGTCTCCCGTCTACCTCAATCTACCAAACCAAAACGTCCGGTTAGACACTAGTTTTCACACCAAGTTTTGCGAAAAACGGGCGTGTAAAAGTGGCAACCCTTGGTACTTACTGCCTTGTCTAGGAGTAATCGGGATTTGATATTAGCTAGGAAACCACACAGTGTCAACCGGTCAGTGTCAACCGGTGAGAGTAACTTGAAGTGTGGTACGCGGCTCCGCATGAAAGGGTACATGGCAACCGTATACCTCCTGCTCAGCCAACATTTTCTCCACGGAATTATGATTTCTAAGAGTCCCGTAAAGTTTACATGTTATCTGCGGATTTGATAACGCGCCATGGAGTTTTGGCGGATTCCGATAGGCTTTGGTGTTCTCAGAGTGGGGGTGAAAATGATTGCCTTTGGTGCAGAGAGATCATCGAACCAAACATGAGGCAGCACAGGCGGTCTAGCCAAGAAAGCTGCGCGCTGCAGGAAAAAGCTTGGCACAATACCTCTCTCCAATAGAATCGGAAGATCATAACCCCTCACGGAATCCCACGTTCTTGGGAACCCCAAGCGCCCTCCAATAAGTGAATTATGCATGTGTTGGTTCAAGGAAGTTAATTTCTGATTCTCTTACATCTTACGCTGGTCATCGAGGGGCTCAGGGACTCAGTGGGGAGAAGTGTCGGTATGCGGGGTAGGTCATTGGTACGGGGCAGGGTGCTGATGTTGATTTTCGTCATAGTTTGTGGTACGCCGGGGGCCGCCTTCCATTGCTCCACAGGGGCCTGGAGAGTTATTTTTTTGGTAGATGTGTTGAACCGGGGGCCAGGCACCTGATCTATCGATTATATTTGCTCAAAGTTGACGGAGAGGGGAGGAAGGAAATAGAGGTGCTCTTAGGGGCTATGTTTCTTGGGTGTGCCGTTGCTAGTGGAATTTTAGCTATCACTGTACCATTATTTGATGCCTGATCCTTGTGATAAGCCAACGCCCGATATGTTTATTTGTCAGTGCCCCGTATTCTGGAAGGTGAGGGGCTTCTGTGGACAGTTACAGCTGATTACGATTGAGCTCGAGGGAAGTACCGTAGTCAAGTGCCAGTGCGCACCACAGAAGGCCCAGGGAAGTCGGGCTCCACCAAAGAACAAATGGCGGCTGAGATTTCTCCTGCGCGTGGCCCGTGCGCATGGAGTGGTCTTGTGCTGTCCTGTGTTGACATGATTGATGCATTGCTGACAGCAGTTGGGCGTACAAGTACCGGTACAGTAAATTACCTGCCGGTTCCGGGGGTATACCGGAATCTTGGCGCACTTCATGCATCGGTAGCGCCTATATTTCCGGATATTTTTGGAATCGTATAGCACCTCTTTAACTTGCTTGCGATAACCGACTGTCTGGCCATTGAAATTGAAGATCGGACTTTATAAGGAGAATGAGGGGATAAGACTGCCCTAGCTCACCGCCTAGGTACACCTAATATTGACACAATTTGGGGTTTGAGGTCTGCTATTCCCCTATGAGAGGAGCCCTGATATCCTTTGGCTGTATGTATTTTTCCGTAAACCTCCATCTATCGTGTTTTGTGAGTTGATTAATCCAGGGCGCTCTACTCGTAGAATAAGAAAATTAACGCATCTATCTCATGGGAAGGGCTGTAATAAAAAAAAATAGGCAGACATCTTCACTCTGCAAATGGGGCTTATAATGGGCAAGGGTACGCAGTTTGCAGGGGCTGTTTTTTCTTGATCCATAGGACATAACGCAGTTCGTGCAGGAGAAGACGCTAAATTAAAGTGATTTGAATCACAACTGGGCACTCTTCCATCCCATGGTGGGATTTCCGTTACACTTGATTCACAACTCTACTCACACTAGGATTTGAACGTATATACAGTGATTCCTCTTGCCCAATATATATGAGCCGTCCTCACATAAATTGCTCTCCGGTACCCTAAACCCACGATGAAAATGCAATCCCGGAGCTCCTTGAGAGGTGGTTGTGCCAGGGGCCATAGAGTTACACACTTTTTGATCTTCTTAGATCAAGGAAAAGACTTAGATCACCCCGATATAATAGTGTATAGTGAGCCTGCTCACGCCTGTATAAAAGTGTTTATCGCCAAGGTATTGCATGCTGATTCCCGGGAGGTGGTCAGACGCGCTTCATTCGTTTTCGTTTTCGTCTGAACTGGAACCCTCGAAAGCTTTCTCCGGACCCCTTCAATGATCAGATACCCACGCCGCTCTTCACCCCGATCTTCCTCCTGTAGAGTCGTGTCAAACTAGTGAAGCTCAGACATGTCAATATCTGGCTGGAGGGTGGGGGTGGGGTTCCATAGCCTTCCCGGTTGGCCGCCGGTAAAGCAAACTCGCACATCCCCGAAAGTGCTCATTCCTCCATCAATCCAACTCCTTTCTTGAAGGATTTCTGTGCGCAATATACGTATCTGGGCTGCATTATGTTACTAATTTGTGGCAGCTGGTGATTGCACAAGAGGCTAGTGGCGTAAGGCTTGAAGTTTGTTGTATATGGCGTTCCAGATATCGTGGTTGCGACTCTTGCAAATGCCCTCAAGACATATATCTGCCGCAGTTTGGGGGTCGTGCTAGAGAGCGCCTGGACAGCACACTTTAGAGGCATATTTTGGTTTCCCAAATTAAATTTGCTTCGAACCCATTGGCTAGAATTCCCGGAACGCTAGTGAAGAACTGGCCTCCTCCCTTGCGGATCCCTCTCAAGGATTTAAACCCAACAAGGTGCAAAAAGCGTTAGTGGTTGGAACCAGAATTTCAGGGTGGGCCGGGGTGAATATCGACGAAGGTCTTGAAAATATCTGCAGGACGGCGCGCGAAACACCCCACCCTCTTGATATGCCGTCATCTCTAGGTAAATTAACTTCCACGTTACTCACGATACCTCTTCGTCGTGTGGTGGAAGAGTTTGCTGCAGCTCAAAATTCTGCGTGTTGGCAGGTGATGTAGGGAATTAAACAATGGGGGGATAGTTTATCGAAATAAACAAGAGAGGTGAGATAAATGCCTAAGTAAGTTTGGACGTGTGACCTTGGGCGTTATATGTCTCTTTCCTCAGTTTGAATGGAGAAAGGTGTTCAATCATTGAATGCCACAACTTTGCCTACGCTTCCATGACATCGAAACGGCCCCACTCCATTCAGAACCACGTAGGGTTAAATCGGGAATGTCTTGGGCTGATAATAGAGGTAGATGCAAAAGGAGACAAGATGCAGCCCCACGCGGGGGTCGAACCCGCAATCTTGAGATTGAGTCTCACGCTCTACCGATTGAGCTAGCGAGGCCTATCAAGGAAGAGAAAAAGTCAAGAATAATAGTAATAAATAATAATGACGCTAATAACGGACCAAGAAAATTCATCTGCTAGAACGGCGATCAAGAACTCTCAATGAAATCAACCTTGTCAAAGAGAATTGAGAGAAAAAAGAAAAAAAAAGTCGAGGACACGCATATCCACCTCGCCGAAGGATCAGAGCCAGCTGTCCCAGCACGTCTTCCCACGATAACTAAACTCAACAACCAACTTGCATATGTCGCCTATCAGTGCGGCGCAGGAGCCAAGTTGGCCACCAGTGGCCCCGAGACTGCTTGTGAAACCGGTGGGATGAAGGCGGGATTGCTTTGCTTTCGTATCGTATACTTGTCAAGTCGCACCTTTACCTTACGACCTTTAAAGAATTGTTGATCGAACATATAGCACGCTCGCTGCGCTCCTTCCGCTGACGAGAATAAAGCCGTTCCATACCCCCGGCCTCTCCCATCGGTCTGCGGCACATCACACCTCTCCAAATGGCCCGCTGGGTCTAAAAACCCCTTCAACTCCTGCCATTGGGTGTCATAGGCCAGGTTACCCACAAACACCCCGCGGGATTCCGTGATTAGCGCTCCGTTGGTAAGATTTACCGGAAGCCCTCGGTCAGGAGTGAGAAAAATGGGAGCGGGCTCGATAGTAGAATAATACGGGTTTACTGCTACCATGAACTGTTCGTTCCCTGGAATCGGTGGGTGATACCCGAAACCAGATGCCGGCATCAATACTCCGGGTGGAGGTCCATACACTGGTGGCTGGAATAGCGGGAAGGCTGGCGCTTGTCTGTCGTTGCTTTTTTTTCGTTTATAGGAAGCATCACTATGCCCCTTAGACGAAAGATAAGCAACGAAAGCCTGGTTCTGGGCCCCGACCCTACCCTCATTATGTGCTTGTTCTGCCCGCTGGTGTTCGATCACCAGCGGGCAATGATCTCCACCCCACGTACGTGCAATGTCAACCTGGATCCGGTGGTGTTCCGCTTGAATCCCGTGGTTCACACAGCGTGCTTCATAGTGAAGATATGCCCGCGCCGCGATACCCTGGTAGTAGAAGGCGGCCTCGGCAGGAGATATACCTGGAGGAAGCATGGATTCCGCCAACGTCTGATCTAGGTATTCCGGCGGGAGTTCTGGTTCCATCACGAATGCTGGTCCTGGTATCGGCCTGTTTGCGACTGGCCATGGTATTGCTGGCACCACTGGAGGACTTGCGACTGGTAGAGCACCCGGACTGTTTAAACCCGCACCCGTTGGACATATGTCGTGCTCATTACCCAATTTCACCATGAGTGCCCTAGCTTCCCACTCATATCCGTCTAAGTTGGCTGTATTTTCGGTACCTCCGCGTTAGCGATCAGTAGCTTCAGGCTCGCCTCGTGGTGCAACAGAGGGGATCACTAACCTACTACTTTCATTGCTTCTTCCTTCCCTCTAACCCTCGCATACCCAAACCCCCTAGATCGTCCATCAGGAGTGAGATAAATTTCGGCCCTCTCAATGCCCGAGGTGTGTTTCCGAACGAGGTCCTTAAGATCTTGCCACCTAGCTTTCCATGGCAGCTGTTGATCTGGCTGTCAGCTCATTAAAATACATATCGCAATGCTAAAGAGGATGTACATTGCCGAAAAGAACTATATAGCCCTCGTGCGTGCTCTCCGCGCTCCTCTGCATTACAATGTTTCCCATAGTTGTTGAAGTATCGGTAGTCGCGTTTTCGTCTTGAGAGTGTGGGGATCGATCGACTGTCTCCTCCATATAGTAACTCGAAGGATAAACCGCCGAGGGGATTCGGGTTGGTTGAGATTTCCTATGAAAATTGACTAGCAATTCACTAGGAGTGTGTTCATATGCTAATACTAAAGCGCCTGGGGTGGTTCCTAGCTGTATATAACGCTCCTACAAGAACTTCGGAGAGCGTCCAGGAAAAATGTGAGGAAAAAAAAGCAAAGGAAGTCTGACTTCAACTCGAAACTGCGCTGCGAAAAAAAGACAGCGTAAACTAGCAAATGATTGCAGGGAGTGTGGACAACAGCTCCACCCGAGAGCAGGCGGTTTAGAAGATTCGCGAATTGGGTGCATTGACCTTCCCGCCACCGCATAGGTACGGTTTTCGCCGCCGCCAAGGTCTTGGAGGGAAATCGGGAGGAGGATCCCCTATTGTACTCTCTCTAATTTTAGCTGCTAGTTTTTCCCGGTGGGATACTCGTCAGGCCTAGGCCCGTTCAGTATCATACCAGTACCGGTACAAGTACTACCGTGATTCCCCCCCTCCAGCTTCACCTAGATAGTTGACTGAATGGCCATATCGGGTATCTATTGGTTTTATCTGGGTTTTGTCTTCGTTCATGTGAGATACTGTAGCGTTGTCAGCCCCATCCTCGGCAAGCGTTTGCACAGGGATTGCACGGTATAAGTAGCGTATCAAATGTTGGTCTCAATGGATTTTTGATTCAAGTGCCAGAGAAAAAAAGAACACAGCTACCACAATAGGTCCTAGTTTGTAGAGTACGGTAGTTCGCAAAATTTTAATGTCTTCCGATCTCAAGGCACATCAAGCGGCGATACTGATCGAGCGCTCTTGCCTGTAAATCCAATTTCGTTACATGCGTTGTCACGCCAATAGCCCAGAAGTTTGAGCAAATCATCAGCGGGGTCTCCAAACTATGAAGCGCCCACCCGTGTGGATCCAACAGTGGCTTGTATGCTCACCCCCTCTTTCAAAAACTGTATGAGTAGAACACCGGAATGATATCGGATGCGATCCCGAGGGTAACCCAACCTTGATTGCGCCGGAGTATTGAGGCCACAAGATCCATCCGGGCTACCTCTCCAATGCCTACTTTAGACTTCCGTCCACAGCCAGCATATATCTGACGTGCTGTTGAATATGTCAATCCCGAAAGACCTTATCAATCGCGGCATACTCGAGTACTGTAGCTGTACGGAAATTTCTTTAGTCGGAGGGTATCTCTGCTCAGCATAGCAATAGCGCGGTTTTCCGGCACAGGCACTGCAAGGCGACAAAGATTGGAAACCCAGCGCATTCTAAATTTCTACTCGACGGCTTTTATAGCAATAGAATCGTGATTTGCCTGGCAGTAGGCGTGGGTCACGGCTATTTCCATAGAATTGAGTTCCTGCGGAGGCATGGGCCATACCACCCCACTCACTTGCTTTTCCCCATTCCGAATACTCGAGTACCGGTACGGTAGAGCGCTCGAGCGCTGCACTTGAAAACTCCCCTAGCGCAATACCCCAGCGGTCGTGTCTCTGCGACCTTGCATCAAGCCATCTTACTCGTGAAGTAAATACTGAGACACTTCTCCACTTTCTACCTGCCCCAGTCAGCAAGCGAGGCCGATACCGGTAAATGGGCCGTGCGGACGCACTTTACCGATATCCTACAAATCCGTGATAATTTAGGGAGAGGATTCCAGGGTTTTCCTGCATCCAAGAGTACTGGAGTACGGGTATTGCCGTGAGACATCCGGGAAACTACTTGTATTACCCATAGGTAGGGCTCAGAATATTATTTACCGCTGATTGTGCTTTGGCGCGTACCATGATTTGAGGGCTGTCAAAAAGTTGCTTGGGACCCACGACCGGGAGAATAACCAGGGTCGGGGTGGAGCTTCTCTGTGATCTGCAAGCCATCAAATTTTCTGGATTCTGGGCAGGCCAACTAGCTCAAACAGTGAATTCTCTACCTGTCACCATTAAATACCTGTCATATTTGAAGGTGTCTCAACTTGTACAAGTAACACACCCCTCTCCTTTCGGGTCGCCGGTCGACATGAAGGGATCAGTACGGTTGCACAGTACGCGAAGAGGTCATTTAGCCCAAAAAAGTACTAGTACCTGTATAGCATGGTTACTACGATATGTTATTGATAATTTTAGGAATACCGGTAGTCCAGTAACGGTAGGTAAGAACTACTACTTTAAAGGACTATGATTCGATCAGACCAGCGAGAGCAATATATGGTGGCATCATATTGCCGGACCCCACGGACCAACATGCCCTTCAATGAATTTTTCTATCATACTGATTCGCGACTCAGGAGTATGATACACTCTCGCTTAAAGGGCTTGGGACCAACCAAGAAAACCCTGCTCCGAAACCTTGGTTCGAACTCGACTATCGCTAGCCCAGTTCCGGGTCGCCTGTGCCAGGGTAAATAAACTTTATTGAGACAATGCTAGGCCTTACTGCACGGGGTTCAAGGATAGGAAAGCCACCGCGAAATACCATCGCCCAATCGATTATAACTAGGTGGTAATGCTGCTGTAGATGGGGTTTCTTACACAATCTCGAGGATTTAAGCGGATTCTGGTATCATACTTTTCCATGCTTGAGTACCCTATCTTTGGTGGCCTCCTCGAGTTTGGGATCGTAAATTACTTGTGCTGTTGTTGTGGCACACTGCAAAGTCACCCCGCCAGTAAGACATCCCCCAGTTTCGCCCTTTCGGGAGTTGCATTTGAGTGATATGCGCAAATAACTAATTAAAACTTCGCTACATTAAAGAAGCAAGGTTTGCAGCAACCGCCGAGTGCATCATTCAGCCCAGAAACCACCGACACTTGGTACCGCAGCAAGTCGGGGAGCAAGAGCTCAGAGCTGTCTTGAACGCATGATCTTTTAAATACGAACCACATACGTACGCAATCGAAATACTAGGAGATCTATCTATAAAATATTAACTTGTATCATATCCGGGGCCTGTGGGCAGCTTGAGTGGCTGACGAGAAGTTCGGGGGTGAATTACCGTATGCAAATACTGTGCTCGACTAGCAAGGACTCACTCGAGACTTCGGGCATCGGTTCCTTCCCCATAAGGGCTTGGCTTTCTGTAGTATTTTGCTCGGTGTGGTACTTTTGTTCATTCCTTTAGGTGTTATGCACGCAAAATTTTCTTTCCCCCCTTGCTTCCCTCCCGCCCTCCTTTCCAAGGTTGTCGGGTTTTTGGTGGGCAGTGGGGGTCAGCCCCCAGCAATCAAGGAGGGGAGCGTGTTGGAGGGTTTGCGTAGTCTGACACAGGTGGGAGCTATCAAGATTCTAACCGGCGGTTGTCGCTTGCACTTAAGCCCAAGGAGCCCCCCGACAAATGTCGTTCTTGTCAAACTGGGTGCCCTCTGGAAGTAATAAAGTGGCCAACTTTCGGTTGTATTGAAACTACCTTGTTAGGTTTATACTTAGGAAGCGAGGCTGTAAAATCATACCCTTAGGAATGCATGGGGGTATAGTTGGGCCTGAGTTTGGGGGCCTCAATCCCGGCCCTAATGTCAAGCTTTTTGCACTTGAAGCGTGTCGGGTGGGGGAACCGCGCTTCTAAGCCTTTGTCATTGACTTATATTAACGCCACCCGGCTCTCACTGAGAAAACCTCCAATGTTGAATCGTTCACCGAAGCCCTACCAGATGATCTAGACGGCACACAGTGTTCTCGGGAGGAGAGTACGGTACATCACGAGAAATAGTGGTAGCGGCTCCTTGAGCTTTCGAGAAAGTCGATAGAAATTTTCTCTATTTGCTACTGTATGATACTTACACCTGCAGTCCAATAACATCTATCTTTAGATAATGCGTAGATCTCAGGAAGTTCTCTTGTTTTCCACTAAGGCCGTGATTTTTTGCCAACTTTGTTTTTTGCTCTTTTTCTGTTTCCTTGCTCCTATAATACCTGTTCTACACGGACTTCTAGGTATGCTTTTAGGTCGTTGTTGCGAGACGGGTGGGGATAGAGTAGAAGGAAGGAGAGCAACAGATCTGATTAGATCTTTTAAATTATATTTTTTCCTTTTTCATGTTTTAGTGCATAATAGGACAGTGTTAGGAACTAATCAAATGCCATCTGTGTAACGTTTAATCTCTTATCATGGGGGCCTACTTGGCCTAGATAACACGGTTCCAACGTGCCTCAAGGAGGAATCACACAAAATAGTCATGGGCAGTCACTCGTAGGTCTACCTTGTCCAAGGATGAGCCTCCATGCCGTGGCCTCACCCCTTAACTCTACCGGCCCCAAGAGCCAGGATTACTGCCCTAAAGATTCCGTCTGCCTCCACTTCCTCGCACTAATTATTATTTCTGAGTTAGCCTATCATGGCTGTGGCGGCGAGACTGAGGCCAGATGTGCCTGTATTAACCCTGTAGCATTTCAACTATTTCGTCTTATTACAGTATATCCTGTCACTGATTTTCTGCAGTAAAGCCTATGAGCGTGGCACTCCTAGCCGGGAGAAAGGTATACCAATAACTAGCTCAGGATATTGCTTTGGCTGTTCCCCTTTTGCTCTGTATATCGAGCAGGAGATTAGTTCCACCACCAATCTTACGTACTCGATGAAGTAAGCCTGCCCCGTTCTCGGTGACAACTGCAGGCTCCGTTGCGCCCTTTCCCCACCCGCGGGGTATATATGCCAACACTTACTCATCTATATAGGAATACTCATCAGAGGGAACTAAAGAGACTAGCTTAATCCTCCCCAGAACATGGCTTCTGATATCTGTGGCTAGATGTTCCCATCGATTGGGTGGCCCAATGGCGAGGCGCTTAACTATAATTCGTCGGATCTCGAGAAGTTGAAAGTTCGATCCCTGCCGCGGTCGGGTGTTCGATACTCCTTGTTTATTGGAACTAAATCTCTTATCTTAGGTTACGTTATATTTACGGTAAGGGAAGGGCAATTTGAGGCAAAATAAATAAATCATAGATCGGTTGGGTTTCAGGGAGCCTTAATGGCGTGATTTTTTACGTTCTAAATAATATTCAATTACTTTCCAGATGAACCGGATTCTAAGTCTCCAGATTGTCGCCAAAGGTCACCAGTTAAACTGGAATTTTACAAGCGAATAGCGGCGATAGCCGCTTGTTCCCAAGATACTGTTCCGCCATTCGAGCGAGCTAGGAGAATGCTAGGTTAGGAATTCTAGGGAAATTAGAAAGGAGGAAAAGGAAGAGGAAATCGAGAGAAGCAGATCTTCGGGGACGCAAAGGACAAGGAGGTTTTGTGGTGAAACCCTCTGGGTGGCGACTATCTGAGCGGATCTTCGATCTATCGCATCGGGTCAACTGAGGGGTACCAACAACTGGGATTATTCTCCCGGCCTCCTTGACTGGCCCC